TCATTTCCGAGTAGATGTTGAAGAGATGATGCACCCTTGTCTAACGCCTTGTTCTATATCAAACCAGTCGGTCAGTCCATAAGTAGTTCTTACTGCTGCTGTTTGCTGTTCATACATTGATTTCAGAAGTAGAATGATGTGAGTTGGGAAGCCCATAGTGTACATGTTATTCCATAAGTTGTCATGTGCAACAGTGTCAAAAGCTTTAGAGTAGTCAATAAAGCATAGAAACACGTCAATTCCTCTTTCTCTGTTCTTTTCGAGAATCATTTTCAGGTTCATGATTTGGTCTCTGGTGCCTTTTCCAGGTCTAAATCTTACTTGTTCTGTAGCTATTTCTTCGTTTAGTTTTGAGGCCATTTGTTTGGTGATGATTTTCAGAAGAATTTTGCTGCTGTGACTGATGAGAGAAATTGTTCTATTATTGCTGTATTGTAAAGTGTCATCTTTCTTTGGGATCGGAACAAAAACTGATTGTCCCCAGTCGTCTGGCCATTTTTTTCTCATGCCGTATTTTTGTGCAAAGCCTGTGGTAGAACACCTCTACGTTCTCTCCACCATATTTTATCATCTCAGCTGTGACCTGGTCATTTCCAGGGCTCTTTCTTATCTTCAGATCTTTTATTGCATCTTTGATTTCTTCAAGAAGAGGTGGTGGTTCTGTTGAGTTCTGCCAGTTTGTGTTTGGTGTAATGAGATTTTCATTTCTTTTGTATAAATTTGTGCAATATTCTTTTCATCTGTTTTGGACCTGGTCTCTGTCGCAAAGAATAACATTATCTTCGTCTTTGATGGTATCTATAGTTGGCTGGAATTTCTTGGTAAGATTTTCAATTCCTCTATATACTTCTTTAGTGGAGTTTTTTCTTCTGACATTATTCCTGAATGAACTTTTCCTTGGCTTTTCTCATCATTCGTTGAATTTTGGTATTCTGTTGTCTGTAGATTGATTCATCTACTGCATTCTTAATGCCTTTTGCTTTGAGTTTCTTACGTACCTCAACTTCCTTTATAGTTTCTTCAGATATCCATTGGTTTCTTTTATTCCTTTTCTTACTGATGGTTTCTTCTGCAGTTTTCAGGAAAATGTTTCGTCCTTCCTTCCATAGGTCATTTGGTGTTTTCTCTTCTTCGCACTGTAGAAGTCTCAAAACTGTTCGATACTTTAACGTTGTAATTGATATCCATTGTTTGATAGTCAAAACGGATAGGTCGAGGTGGTTGAGGTAGTTTCTTCAGTCTAATTTGAATATTCATGGCTAGGAGTTGATGGTCGCTTTTGCAATCTGCTCCTGGTTTAGTTTTCACATTTTTCACACAGCTTTTCCATTCTTGATTTATTATGAAGAAGTCAATTTGCTTGCGGATTCTTGAATCAGGCGATGCCCAGGTGTATAGATGTCGAGGGTGGTGTTCAAACGTTGAGTTGGCGATCAACATGTTATTGGCACTACAGAAATCTATTAGTTTCTCACCTCTATTATTTTGTTCTCCAAGACCAAATATCCCACAGGTTTTGTTAGGTATTGTCATATCACCGACTTTGGCATTCATGTCGCCCATGATTAATTGAATATCCCGGTTTGGGATTGAGTCAAGCCTTCCGTAGAAAATGTCCATATCTTCATTACTTGTTGCACTAGTAGGTGCATAACATTGGACAATAGTAACATTGCCTGAATTCTAACTTTCAATATTCTGTCTCTAATTGGGCTGTATCCAATTAGTGCTTTGGACACTTCTTTATCGAGAATAACAGCTACTCCGTGGCTATAACTTTTTTCTTTGCCAGAAAAGATTATTTTCTGTTGTTTTGAAACTTCCGCATCCATTCCAGTTAGTCTCAGAAATGCCATGTATTTGTATTTTATAGTTTCTCATTTCATTACAAACAGTGTTAAGTTTGCCTATCTCTTTTAATTTCCTTACATTTCAGGTTCCGATGTTAATTTTGTCTCTCAGTTGAAGATGCTTTCCTTGTTTTCCTTGTTTTCCAGTAGCCTGCTTATCATTGTCAGCCTGGTCATCCACTGAGCAACGCGCCCTTTGTTGACCCACGCGACGGGCGATGTGGTATGAGTTTTTGTTTGATTCACTATTCATTCATGCAAAGGGTGGACAGGAGCTAAAAGAAAGATGAGTGGAGGCCCCTTATCTCCTCATCTCGCAGTCTCCAGATAACTAGGAGAAGTAATCTCTGCCGTTGAGCAGAAGTACTGAGCATCTGCCAGACATAAAACCAGTTGAAGGCACTTGACAGTTGTACCATATGTGCAGTCAAAAGGCATCCACTGCCTTGCTGCCACCAGTTTCACCGTGACCCTAGTACGGGAGGCTTCTGGCGTGCTACACCTTGCTCAAGGGTGCCCCAGGGATGCAGTTTAATGTCGGTACCCAGGACAAATAAATACATATATATACAGTATATATGTTACAGGCAATATGTGAAACTAGTCAATACATGAAATGACTCAAATATTTAGGCATTATGTGAAATGACTGTGACCACCAGTCATTTCACATAATGACTCAAATAGCCAATCATTCCGTGTAATGACTGAAAAATAGGCACCCTGATTACACCTATTGCCTAAGTATCCATTTGTTCATTCAGGCAATCAGTGTAGAAGCCTACAATACCATGTCATCAGTACAGTCAGGTAACAAATAAGCTGGAAGAGGGGAGACAGACTACTGTATTGTTGTATTGCTGTATTATTGTATTGATTAATGTGTTAAGTGTTGATTGTCATGCACGAATTAACATTTTTGTCGTATGAATCAATAATTTTATAGGAACACACTGTTGTTCTCACATTCATAACTCATTGCTCACCTGTGACACCGCAGGGGACGAGGAGGACTCACCTCGGAGACTAGCGCAACCCGACCTTTGGTGTTCAATACTAATCAGAAGATTAGCTGGATTTTAATAGTTGCGAAGTTGCCTCCAACGCATACATTTGTATGTCTTTTTCCGATACCCACAACACACTCTTTAGTTTACCATAGTAATTAACAGATTAACTGTGTATACATTTATATGTCTGCTTCAGATATGAGATACTTCTCTGCGGTGATATAGAAAAACTCATAAAGAATGATCAATCGGTCCTGTACAACGTTGCCATCGAGGATACTTACGATGTAATCAAGAGAGCACACATCGCTACAGGTCATGGCGAGCGGGATCGCATGATCAAAGAAACAGCAAAGCAATACGCTAACAGCACATAGGAAGCTCTTGAATTGTTTAAATCATACTGTGAAGAGTACCAGAAGAAAAGAAAGCGTCCAATTACAAAGGATGTGGTTGTTCGACCCATCTTGACAGATGGGTTTTCTTCTCGCGGCCAAGTGGACTTGATTGATATGGCACAGGATTCCAACAAATGGATTATGGTCTATCAAGACCACCACACCAAATTTTGTGTCCTGCGTCCGCTATCATCGAAACGTGCAGCAGAAGTGGCGCATCATCTCACACACATATTTCTCTTATTTGGAGCTCCGTGCATTTTACAGAGTGATAATGGGTCAGAGTTCACAGCCGAAGTGCTCAGTGAGTTGAAAATCATCTGGCCAACTTATCCTTGTTCATGGAAAGCCTCGACATCTACAGAGCCAAGGATCTGTGGAAAGAACAAAGGGGACATCAAAGACATGCTGGTTGCATGGATGGGAGAGAACAACACCACGGATTGGAGCATTGGAATAAAGTTTGTCCAGTTCCAGAAGAATTCCAGCTTGCATGCAAGTATTCACAGATGACATCGTCCTTGCTGATTGATGAGGTAATGAAAAGGATGATCTGTTAGCTGTACTCACCACTGGTCAAAACAGAGAGGAACCAGGTCCTGTTCCCAGTGCTGAATCAGCCGAAGTTCACATTGATACAGAACAGTAGTCCCCAACACCCCGGTACCTGTCCGACTTGTATCAGCCGAGGTTCACGTTGATGCGGAGCGTGGCCATCATCCTTCAGTAGACCCAAACCATCCAAACCTTGTCGTTCTCAAACAGCCGAGGTTGACATCGATGCTGAATGTGGCTGTCATCAGTCAATAGTCTCCAGCACCCAGAGAGAGATCAGCCCTGCTGTCAGCCGAGCAGTAACTTTGGTCAACCCCGGTGCATCGCCCGAAAACGATTTGAGCCTCAGAGAGGATAATAATATTGCCTAGAGAAAAGGTGCCCGTATGAGTTCAGGCTGAACGCACGGACAAACGGAGTCAAATTGACCTTGCAGCCGGTAAACCACTTGATAATGCTGCTGTTCCTATTCCACTGGTAGATAGGGGTCGTGGTGATCCTTGGAACATTCTCAGTGTCGTCTTGGAACGTGACCAAAATGACATGTACACCATTGGAGTCAAGGCAGGAGTTCTGAAAGCCAAGCTGTCACGCAACAGTTTGACTTATGCCCTCAGCACCTTCTGGGAGAGGACTCCATCAATCGCGACAGGATGGTATCTCTGCAAGAAGCCGTTACCTTTGAATCGAACTGTAGTGGACAGGGTTTTGTCAAATGCAACTGTGCAGGACCCAAAAAGTGTCAACCAAACAGATGCAAGTGCTTTAAAAACAAAGTTAAATGTAACAGTAGGTGCCACACCAGCATGACTTGACTAATAAAGTCTAAACTTGGACCTCATTGACAATGCTTCAACTCAGGGATATATAACTGAAAACAGTATTCACATGTCATCATCATATGTACAAATGAAGTGACAACTTGTATGGTACCTAATTGTATTTCATGACCTGAAGGAATGTGTGAACAGTAGTTGCAATTGCACCATGACTTGCACAAAAAGTATGAATATTTGCACATGCGTGTATTAACGTTTTTATGAGTTGAAATAAAGTGAGAATAGTGATTGATATCTTTGCGTTATTAGTTCAGTCATTTCATGAAATAAATGGTCCCATTTTTTAGTCATTACACGGAATGATTGGGTATTTGAGTCAATACGTGAAATGACTGGTTGTCACAGCCA